TGTGACCGTAAATCCTCCCTTGAAAGACTTTGCTGGATGTGAAGGAGCGGAATTCACAGCCAATGAATAAATGGGGGTTTTGTCGGGACAAGGAATTGGCTTCAGGCTCTTGGGAAGCCTTGGTCAGAACATAGGAATGTTATCGTAGAGGAATGAATGAGGACCTGCTTCTTCCTCCCGAGATCCTTCCTTCCGAGATCCTTCCTCAAGTCAACCATGGTTCTTCTGAGCTGAAGGGTGATCTCCTTTCCTTCTTTTGTCTCTCGTTTCAGATCCACCCATCTCCTTTTAAGCAAGATGTCCTACTATCCAAAGCAGTCCTGTTATGATCCATGTCGTCCCAGGAGTTTCTCCTCCGGAAGCAGCCTCCTCGGCTCCAAGCGTAGGACTCGCTGGAGCAGCGGGAGCTGCCTCGGCAGTTACGGCCGGGGTGTCCGCTACTACCCCTCTTGCGGTTACGGTTATGGCGGTTATCAAAGCCCAGCCTGCTACCAGCCCTTAAGTTACAACTGCGGTTATGGTTACGGTTATGGCAAAAAATACTGCCCACCCGTGTGGTATGGGGGCTACGGTTCCGGCGGTTACGACTACGGGTGTAGATACGGTGGTCTCCTCGGCCGTCGCCAGTCCATCTGCTACGACCCCTGTTATGGTCCTAAGTATCAATACGGTTCCAGGCGTGGCAGCTACTGTTGGCCTTGCTAAGCTCCGAAGGATCCATGAAGATGCTGAGTGACACCAGAAGCTCTCCATTGGTGGCTTCCCAAAAGGCCAAGTTCTCAGAACTTCCTGAAGGAACAGATGAGGGCTTGGCCCTTCTTGAAAGCCACTTCGTCGCCTGCTTATTATTATTATTTTTCTAACAACGTTCTTCTCCAGATCTTTGCCCTTCGAGGACTTGCTGAAGCACCTTTAAGGGTGCGTGTGAAAATGTTTTCGTCTCTTCGTTGATCGCCCACCTGGTTGGCCACATCCCGCCTTCGATGCTTATTTGTTATTTCTGCTCCTGGGTGAATCGAGGCGGGGCATAAAATAAAGCTTGCTTTGCATGACACTTTCGGTCTTCTTCTCGTTTTATGACGTGGTCCAGGTTTACGCTCCAGACTGCAAGGAGCAGAATAGCAGAGTTGGCAGGGACCTTGGAGGTCTTCTAGTCCAACCCCCTGTTCAAGCAGGAGACTCTAGACCGTTTCAAACAAATGTTTGTCCAATGTCTTCTTGAAATGGCCCAGTGATGGAGAAGGAAGAGAGGGAGAGAGGGAGGGAAGGAAAGAAGGAAAACAGAGCTGGAAGGGACCTTGGAGGTCTTCTAGTCCAACCCCCCTGCTCAAGCAGGAGACTCTACACCATTTCAAACAAATGTTTGTCCAATGTCTTCTTATAACGGCCCAGTGATGGAGAAGGAAGGGAGGAAGAGAAGGAGGGAGGAAGGAAATAGCAGAATAACAGAGCTGGAAGGGGCCTTGGAGGTCTTCTAGTCCAACCCCCTGCTTAAGCAGGAGACTCTACACCATTTCAAACAAACGTTTGTCCAATGTCTTCTTGAAATGGCCCAGTGATGGAGAAGGAAGGGAGGAAGAGAAAGAGGGAGGAAGGAAATAGGGGAATAACAGAGTTGGAAGGGACCTTGGAGGTCTTCTAGTCCAACCCCCTGCTCAAGCAGGAGACCTTAAACCAGTGGATCCCAACATGGGGCCCAGGTCCCACAGGTGTGGGGGGGGGAGCAATTTGATTTTTAATGGGAGCAATTTGAACCTTGTTTAAACCAAAGTTAATGACCTTTTAAGCTTCCTCCATGTAAGTAGAGTTCACTTTTGGAGTAAAGTAAGACTTACATGTCAGGAGGGGACATCAGGATTTTAGAGATGCTTAGGTGGGGCATGGCCAAATAAAAAGTTGGGAACCACTGCCCTAGACCATTTCAAACAGATGTTTGTCCAATATCTTCTTGACTTGGCCAGTGATGGAGCCCTCCACTCCTCTACTCACAGTAGAACTCCCTAGGCCACCAGGGACGAAATTTTGGGTCCGATCGAAGCACAGAACACAAAATTGTCTGCTACAACGTCCCAACTTCTTCAGCTTCAACCACAATACGGGCCAACCATCGATACAAACTCAAGGTCAACCGCTCCACACTCGATTGCAGGAAATACGACTTCAGCCACAAGGTGGTCAACGCCTGGAATGCTCTACCTGACTCCATTGTTACATCCTCAAACCCTCCCACAACTTCAACCTTCAACTGTCCACCGTGG